GTACAGAGTTTCTGAGTTGGATGTAGCTTGACTATAGATATGTAGATATGTAGCTATGTCACATAGCCTTGACTGCCATGTGACTAAGCAAGATACCTGGAACCTGGCAATAGAAGTTGCATGGTGCCATCTAGAGTATGTTTAAATGGCAACATTTTTATTTATTTATTTAGTTATTTTTAATAATTATTTTATTCAATTTTATTCATTCATTCATTTATTTTAATTTGACCAGAGAGAGAGAGAGAGAGAGGAAAGTGAGAAAGCAAGCTACCAGGTCCAGGACTTGAACCATGGTCAGCCATGTGGGAGTGTCCAGTGCCTTAACCACCATGCCACCTGTCAGTTCCCAAATGGCATCATTTTTAATGGCAAGCTCTCTCTGACATATCTATCAGTTTATTTTGAGTGTGGTAGCAGACATGGCACATCAGAAATGAGGTGGGGATGTTTTGATGCAGAGGTTCTCTAGTTTGCTGTCTGTTGAAAGAATGCTCTGGCTTCCTGTTCCTATTGTGAATTTCTTCATTTTCAGGGCTGTGGAACTACATGACCTCAGTGCCCTCTTACTGGGCTATCAACAACGTGAAGTGGTTCAGGTAGAGGAGTCCCTCGTGGACCCCATATTCAGATTGCTAAGGCAGGTGAAGCCTTTCTCTGACTGACTGACATACACAGTCAGTCCTTCTACTGGCTTCTTGGCCCTGCTAAAGAAATTTAAATCTTTGAACACTGCTGTTCTCCTGGCAGGACCTGCATTTAAAAAGAATCTGAGATGCAGGGACCTGCTGGGCTGAACACGTTTTTTTCTGAATGGGGAAGGCTGTGGCTCAGAAATAAATGCAACAATAAATGCACAAAGACACACAAGTATAGAAAAAGTGAGGAGGATCCAGCGGGCCCAACTTCTTTTTTTTGTTTACTTTCTTTTAAAAAAATTTATTTATTATTATCATAATTTTGTTTATATTACATTGAATCACATATACCTTTACAGTATATTACATTCCTTTTTTCAGAAAGAATACCATGCATATCAGTCAATACAAAGACATTAGTTGCCACCTGTAACTGGCCTCAGGTTTATTCTTTTAAAGGGAAGAAAATGGGGTAAGAGGAAATGGAATGCAAAGAGAATGGGGGAAGAGGAAATGGAATGCAAAGCCAGTTGCTTTTGGATGTAAATCATCTGAAGATGTGAAAAGGACTGGCGCCATGAATTTCTTTGATCTTTTTGGGGCCAAATCTGATAAACAGACGTGATTTCCTTTAGCCTCATATTGCCCTGCAGTATCAGGTATTGACAACAACAGGAAGATAACTGATAACAACAGGCAGATATCATTTTCTTAAGTAAATGCTCTCATAGCCATTGCTAAAAAGCTCAGGGAAGCACATTTCTGCATGCGTCTAAAAGTCACATGTTTTCTCAGTCTGGCTGCTCTCCACATATCCTCCTTTTTCTTTTTCTAATTTGAGTCTATAAAACTGGATGGCTGTTGCATGGAGCCCTCACCAGGTGATTCTGCAGACTAGTTGAAAAATAAACGTAAACAAGATTATTGACACAATTATTCCCAAGAAATACCATAAGGAGTAGCAAAGCTTGTTAAAAAGATTAGTCCCTTTAAGTTGATCCAAAATATTAGAGTCTAAATCAGAAGGATCAAATGAAGGTAGAAAACTATTCTGTAAATTTATGATCTGCTTATGGAGAACTTTCATATCTACAGAAATATTGTTAGAAGACCATATCCTATGGAGAAGGTTTTGTATAGAAGTCCAGCTCCAATGTGTGTCATTATATGACAAAGGAGTCATGCAGATAAGTTGAAATAATGCATGGCATCTCAAATGACTTTGTAACTGCACTTTAAACACCTGTTCTCCTAAGCTGTCTATAGTAGTTTCAAGTTCTTGCAAACAGACAGCAATACGTTCATCAATATCTAATTGGGTGCCCATCATATGACAAGTATTATAAGTGAGAGCACTGACAAAAGTGGTGGTGTGAGTTTCTTGACTTAAAGCAACTGACGACGTTGCTAGGGAGGCAATCAAAGGGATTGCAGTGAGAACTCCAAAAATGAATTCCAGCTATCATGGCATAAGGATTTGGAAGACATGTCATAAGTCCAAATGTTTGGGTGGGAAACTGTGAGTCCCCACTGGATAAAACTTTGGAGTGATCAAGGGCTGTGGCTATTTTCCAAAGCTCTTTTTGTTGGTGGCTACCAAGTGTTGTTAAAATTCTAGAAACAAATCATCCTGTAATTTGCTGTTTGAAATAAGATCAGTCATAGAGTTTGGTGCTGTGAGAGGTAACTTTGACTGGTGAATTGTTGTTAACACGAAATCCAGGGAGGGTTACGGTTTTCTGTAACTAAATCAGAATTGGAACAAGGTTAGACTTAAAATGGAAATATGGTAATGTTAGAAAAAGATTAATTTTTAAAGGTGGTATGTTGCAAAAGGGATGTAACCCAACATGTGTGGATCTTGTTATAGAATTGTACATGGACTCTTTTTATCCCTTGAACAATTCACACACAAGAGTCTTGTGTGAAGGACAGACAAACAGGGGGTGAATCAGTAATAGCCAAATAGCTAAATTTTACCCACTGATTGTTAAGGCTGTAAGAAGGAATTCCCCCTAGTTAATGTGAATCATTTGTGAATAATTTCTGGATCCTTCTAAGTGATTGGATGTAACATGGGAGGATCTGGAATACAGGCCCAAAATGTCTTGTTTTGATGTTTATTGGGGAATGTGCTTACCTGAGTGGCTACAATACTTAGCAGGGCCAGCATTAGTAAAAAGAGTTGTAACTGATGCTCCCTGCTCTTCTATAAGCTGTTTGGCTCTTTGAGTTAGATGTTTAATCTGGTCCCATGTAGTGGGCTGAGCCTTTTGTGTTGATTTTGTAGTTGTCATTCTTTTCTTAGCCTTTTTGGGTACTTAATAGAGATTCAAGTCTTCTGCATCTGTTTCATAGGTTTGTCCTCAGGGTGTTCCAGCATTCAGTGGTCTCACAAGTCGTGAAGGAACCCACATTGGCCTTGGTGATGATTCTGGAAAAATGCAAGCATACCCTCAACACCATGCTAATACTGGGTCAAGATCTTTCCACTCTCCTCAACTAAGATCTTTCCATTTTGCATATTGAGGTTTAGCCTTTTCTAGCCATTGATAGTGGATTTCTGCAGCTGTGAGGCCCTCTGATGTGGATTTTAAAAAATTTGAAGTATATAAAGCAAGAGAAAGTCTTGAGTGAAGAGTTCTAGGGATTACCTCATCACTGCCAGTACCACAAGACAGTGGATGATAACATGTTTGACTGCTTCTCCTGTCAGAGGGAAGCAAAGACAAAACAAGAATAGGTGTCAACAGTAACATGTATGTAACTCTGTTGCCCAAATGGGGCATAATGGGTTACAACCATCTGCCAAATGTGATTGGCGGTCAGTCCCCTGGGGTCCACTTGCTGGGACCTGCTTGGCTAAACACGTTTTTCTGGGTGGGGAAGGCTATGGATTAGAAATAAATGCAACAACAAACACACAAAGACACAAGTATAGAAAAAACGAGGAGGATCAGGTGGGCCAACTTTTCTGATGAAGAAGTTGCAACCCACAACTGGCCTCAGGTTTATCCTTTTAAAGGGAAGAAAATGGGGGAAGAGGAAATGGAATGCAAAGTCAGTTGGATGTAAATCGTCTGAAGATGGGAAAAGGACTGGCGCCATGTAATTTCTTTGATCTTTTTGGAGCCAAATCTGATAAACAGATGTGGCTTCCTTTAGCCTCATACTGCCCTGCAGTATCGGGTATCGGGTATTGACAACAACAGGAAGATAACCGATAACAACAGGCAGATAGCGCTTTCGTAAGTAAATGCTCTCATAGCCATTGCTAAAGAAGCTCAGAGAAGCACATTTCTGCATGCGTCTAAAAGTCACATGTTTTCTCAGGTTGGCTGCTCTCTACATTGAGAAGTTCATCAAGTGCCTTTATCCTCCTTGTACCAGGAAGTTAATAAAAAGAGAGACTCATGGGGACCAGCAGTTAGCGTAATGGCTATGTCACTGGACTCCCATATAGTCGACTGTGGTTCGAGTCCTGGACCCAGTGGCTTAAACTCATGCTGGGCACATGTGTGTGCATGCCCAAGATCCCGAGAGGAGAATGGAGGAGAAGGGATTACAACGTGGCCATCCCCCCTGGGCCCGGGGGCTCATTTCTTGCTTTCTGTCTCTCTGTTTCTCTCTGTCTTTCTGGTGAACTATGTAGATCCAGCCAACTGGCCACGTGGGATCCAGCCACCTCAGCCACTGCACTCTGTTCTACTTTACTAAATAAAGTAGAAATATGTTCTCTGTTCTTTGGAAGACTCTAAAAATATATAAAATGTGAAATATAAATTTTCAAATATGGTTAGAATTGCTCAAAAAGAATCTTAAAAACTTAAATTGAGTCCTATGGACCTTGTCTGATCTCACTGATAATAAACTTCTAGATTTCGTTTTGCTTTGAGGTAAAATAAGAATTTCTCAGGATATGAGTCAGAGGAAACAGTATTTCGGACTCTGAAGTATTTTCTTACTTAGGAGGTATCCAAGTGGCTTCTTTCATTCCTGGTAGGGTGGATTCAACTGTACTCAGAATCCTTGACCACCAATTTAGACTGTCTTCTCTTGTGCAGCCCTTCCTTCTAAACATAGATTATATCTTCTGAATCTAAGTTGAATGTCAGGGGCCTAATAAATATACAGGTACTTTATTATATTTAAAATTACTGAGCACCTCATATTCAACGCATTTTCTTGAATCTGCTATTGCAAAAACTCACTTTCAGCAAGAACGCTGAAGACATGCAAACCTAAGGTTGAACCACAGTGCCCCCTGGCATGACTGTAAGATGAAACTTCAGCCAATTTCTGTGAGTAGATCATTTTGAAACAGTGGAAACTAGTCTCTAAAATGGTTTTGCTTCTTTCCAGATCAGTGGGACTCCCAAACTACCAACTATGGTAAGAACTTTTTCTTTTCAATTGCTGTGACTTATAGATCATTTTGAAATAGGAGAAACTCTTCTCTAAAATGATTTTGTTTCTTTCCAGGTCAGTGGGGCTCCGAAACTACAGACTATGGTAAGACCTTTTTCCCTTTACTCTTCTTTCTGGGATTTTGCATACTGGCTAGGTTGGCTGCTTATGCTGCTGCTGCTGCTGTTGTCTGGTTGAGGCTAAGCAGTCTTGGTCACAGAGCAAGTGCCTGCCTTTTAGAATGCAAGGATAGAGCAGGATCCAAAGAAGGGGGTGCCAAAGCCCTGGGCATGTCCTGGACACACACTCCACTAATCTCTTCTGTCATTCTCCTTCCTTCTTTTCTTTGCCCATAAGTTGTTCATTGGATGAGATTAGTTTCTACTTAGTGTCAGGAGAGATAGTTAAACTGTCACTAATAATGACAGTTATCTGGAGGATAACCAACATCTACCAAACACTCATTATGCATTCCATAAAAAGTTATTTTCATACACTGAACAAGTTAATATATTAAAAAACATTTAAAATACTGCCTGGTACATGTAGTGATATTACCATAAAATCTTCCTAACCATATTTTAAGGTAAATATTGGTATTATGTCCATTTTTTCAGATCAGAATATCAGGGTACAACTAGGCCATTTGTTAATATATCTATGTTTAAGGTCACAGGACTAGTAAGAGGCAGGGCAGAGATTTGAACCTAAGATGGGTGCCTTATCAATGACTCTTAATAAATGCACCCATCTCTCCCCTTCCTGTAGTAAAATGTATAGACATCTGTGCCCAATTCAGGGTTGTTTGTGTTTACTTAGGATACCTGACTGTCACGGGCCTCCAGCACTGTTGAGGCCAATTCCTCCCCTTCTAGGACATACCCTGAGAGATCCAGAAATGGGCTGGGAGGGACTCAAGGGGTAGCTTTCCGACTGACACTCCACAAGGGTCAGTCTGTGTCAGGAAGACCGAGAGCTCCTCTGGAGGGATCATTCACAGGAACGACTAGAAGAGGCAATAAGAAAGGCTGAGAGGGGACCAGCAGGTGGCATGGTAGTTAAGGCACTGGACACTCCCACACGGCTGACCACAGTTCAAGTCCTGGACCTGGCAGCTTGCTCTCTCTCTCTGGTCAAATTAAAATAAGTGAATGAATAATTTTTTTTTTTTTAAAAGAAAGACTGAGAAAGTCTAGACTTCACCTTGAAAATACCTTGGAAATGGTCCAGTTGACCTTTTCTTCTTTATTCTCTGACTCCCTCTCAATGACAGCAACCTGTCCCTTCTCTTTTGTCCCATTTAGATCTCTCTGACCACAAATTTTTTATTACCTCAAACTAGCCACTGAAAAGCCAGGCCCAAGATTCTGTTTCTGCTGCCAGGATATGGGACTGGATACCTCAGGATCTGCTCTCCCAATTCCTTACATAATCAGTGCAATTTTTCACCAGTGAGTGAGCTAGTGACATCATGTCAGGCAGTAACATAGTGCTTATTGCCTCCCTAGCATGGTCATCTTTATGGTGGGAACCAGGATCTCTAAGACCCCCAGCAGAAAGGAAGCAGGAAGGGTAGGTTGAAGCCCATGATCTTGGACTTGATCTTAATGGAGTGGAGAGTAACTGAGGTGTTTGGAGCAGGAAAATAAGTTGAACGTGTCTACACTTTGTAAAGATAAAACTTAAGGACTATCTGGTGGAGACAGATGAATCCTCTCAGCACAAGAATAGGCATAGAGTAAGCACTCCATAAATGCTGAAAGAATCCATGAATGTGGAAGGACTAGAGAAAGAAGAGGTAGAGCTAGAGAGATTGAAAGTCCGGTTTAAGTGGATGAAGTTCTAACCTAGTGAAATGGTAGTGGGAATAAAAATAAGAGTGACCTTGGTGGTGACAAGTTGCATATAAGAGCTGAGAAGGAGGAATCCAATATGATGTTTGAGTTTCCAGCACAGCTGAGGAGTAAGGAGATTCAATGGAGGAAGGAGAGTGTATTGAGCTTGGGATGGTGGTGATGAGTTATCCAGGAGGCCACTGAAAGTGGCGGTCTAGAACTCAGGATTAGGGTTGTCAGGGCTGGGCCAGGACCAGAAAGGTGAATTTGGGGGTTCTGTTTGGAAAGTTCTTAGAGTTCATAAGGTTTTCCAGGAACAAAAGATGAACCAAGAAGAAGGCAAAGACAGTGCTTGGGAGAAAAGTGGTATTTAAAATCTTGAGGGGAGAAGAATCAATGAAGGAGACAGGACAGGGTGGTCAGAGACAAGAGTGAGAGGAATGCTGGCTGGGTCATGCAAGCCAAGGGCAGAGAGCTGAGGGCTTATTGTTGTGTCAATGCAGGTTTGCCCCTGAGGACTGGTGTCAGGGCCAGGTGGAGGTCCTGTACTAAGGCACTTGGGACACCAATGATGCCAATGTGGTCTGTGGGCAGCTGGGCTGTGGCTATTCGTGTCCACTCCAGGTGGGGCCCACTTTGGTCAGGGCTCAGGGAACATTCTCTTGGGTGCTGTGTACTGCTCAGGATGGGAGCCCTACCTGTCAAGCTGTTCCTACAGTGGGTGGTACAACCACAAATGTGACCACAGGGAAGATGCTGGAGTTGTGTGCTCAGGTTGTACAGATATAATCTTATGCTGTCATGTGCACAACTCTGAGAACAGATATTGACTCAAATCAATAACATGGCCAGTGTGTGTGTGTACACATGCATGTGCATTTTGCAATTTACTTGCTCAGTTGTAAGTCATTCCTCCTCAATGTAAAAGGATAGGCATCACTGCCCCTTTTCACACAGAAAAAAATCAAGGCTCAGAAAGTTCAGCTGACTTGCCTATTGTCCTAAAACTGGGAGGTGGTAGTGGCAGGTTTCAGTCTCAGTGTCCTCAGAACTTGCTCAGTAGATGGATTGGTATAGCCCAGCAGCATTGTGGCCACCCCTGGTCTGGAATGAGCAAATAAATATCATTCTAAGTGAGTGGGAGGCAGGTGATGTGGTTGTTAAAGGCACCCACATGGCTGACTGCGATTCGAGTCCCAGACCTGTTGGCTTGCTTTATCACTTTCCCTCTCTCTTTTTCTCTGTCTCTCTCTGATCAAACTGGAAAATAATAATAATAATAGTAATAATAATAATAAATAAAGTTAAATAAAATAAATAAAGTTAAAAATAATTTTTTTGGAGAGGTTTTTACTATAGGGTATGTGCACTCACCAGAAAGACAGAGAGAGACAGAGAGACAGAAACCGAGAAATCACCCCCAGGGCGGATAGCCATGCCTTAATCTTTTCTCCTCCATTCTCCTCTCAGGATCTTGGACATACACGTGCCTGGTGTGAGTTTTAAGCTGCCAGGTCCGGGACTCGAACTGCAGTTGACTACATGGGAGTCCAGCGACATAGCCATTACACCAACTGCTGGTCCCAATAAAATAATTCTTTAAAAAGATATCATTCTAAGGGGCAGTTTCTCCTCCTTCAAAGGCAGAGGATGATGAGGGGATTGCTAATTCTTAATACTTAAATATATACCCAAATCAAATGGAGGAGTAATCAATATACTCTTTATTGGGAACTAAGTGACAAGCAAATGACACACACTTAGTAGTAAAGAAATTCTTCCTGACTCAACCCAGTGACTCCTATTTCTCATTGGCAATACAATGCTGATAAGCGTGCAAGACCAAGGGGGTCTTTAATACACAGAGACTCTTCTGAGGATACTGGCTCATTGTGTGTCCCTCAAAGAGGACTTTCTAATTTCACTGCCCACTTTTAGAGCATCCTCTGATATTTGCTGTGTAGGCTGGACTGTACCCATGTTTCCATCCACATGATGTGACCACAATAATCCTCCATGACAAGAGAATGGGCTCCCCAGGGAAGTGTGGTCCTCCACACAGCCACTTTGTGAATGGGCTTATTTTGGCATTCTTGAATGCATTTTTGAAAACTGCCTTTCTTCCTGGTTGGGGCAATATCTCAGTGATGGCAAATATTTGCCATTTGAGGGTGTGTTTGAGCCATAAAACTTTCATTTGAAGTCCATCTTGTGAATAGGACAGGGACGTTAATGAACCAGGTGATTATTTGGATGGAGACTGTGGAAGGAGAGAAGGTGGAGGATGGCGACAGGGGAAAAGGATGCTCAAGGCAGCATCCCAGCACTGGCCAGGTGACCTAGAGATTGGAATTTGGTGTCACAAGAAAAACACTGCTTATTAGTGATGGAAAGACCTTTGGGGTGTCTGCCTGTGATTCAGAGCTGAGGAAGCAGAGGCCAACTCTCCTCAAATTAGGGCTAATTAAACAATTCTTTCTTTCTCCACTCTGCAGCTACTTTGTCTTCCACAGAGGCACCCCTGACAACTCCATCAGGTAACGTTTGCCATGTGGACTCTCTGTGAGTTCACTTCCCCACTACACACATGGGTTTTTCTGATTCAAAAGAGGTACAAAAGGTACTACAAAAGGGGATAGGGGTTCTCAACTCTTATTGAGGATCATTCTGAACTAGGACGCAGCCCCAGATAGACATTTCTTCCATGAATCATGCCCCTGATATTGGCATCTGATACTTAAAAAGGCATCTCTAAGGAGCTCCAAGGTGGAGCCCAGAAACCTATACTCATACTCAGTGCCTTCCTCATGGCCCTCATCAATTCATGCTGACTGCTGGTCAGCCTGGGTTGCTGGGTCTCTGGCTGAGGCACCTGGAGAGGCAGAAATAAACCTGCTTAGGTGGCCAACCTGCTAGGAATGCATCCTTGCCCAAACCCTTTCCTTGAGCCCCTATTAGGCTACCCTGATTGTTTCTCAACATGGAGAACGTATGATCCCTCAGCCTACAGGCATTGAAAGTCCTGTACTTCCCCCAGGGCACCTCCAGAGAAATATCTGAGAGGCATAGCCAATATGTTCTAAGATTTTGGCAACCTGAACTTTGGGAAAAGAAGTCACTTTCCATTTCCCATTGGAAATTTTGGCCCTAGAACAAGATCAAGAATAACTTCCACTCCAAGGCCTCTGGCCTGCTCAGGGATCAACATGGATCAGTTGGGAATCTTGATCGTACATGCGTAAGGCATTTCTGTTCCACAGGTCCTTTGTTTTCCTGTCCCTCAGGCCCATGGAACAATGCCTGACTACCTTCCCTTTCTTGTCCCCATGGTTAAGAATGTCACTAGAGCTAAGGATTTGACTTTATTTATTTATTTATTTATTTTAAAGAGAGATTTTTGCTATAGGGTGCGTGTGCTTGCTAGAGAGACAGAGAGAGAGAGACAGAGACACAGACAGCAAGACACCAACCCCCCCACACCAGAGGGGATGGCTACACTACAATCCCTTCTCCTCCATTCTCCATAGTCAGAACCTGGGGTCTCCAGGAGCCTGTGTGCTTTGGGAAAGAGGCCAATAGTGTGAGTTTCCTGTCCAGAGTGACATCTGTCCCATTTCTACAGCTTTTTGTTGACCCCAGGACATCCTGGCCCCAAGGACTCTTGCTATACAGCCAGGAGGAGAAAAATATGCTCCAAACCAACCCTAGAACCCCAGATAGATGCCAGAACTTCTATAGGGACTTCATGATGCCATCAGGCTCTTCAAAAGGAGACAGCATTTACCTCCTCTCTGGGGGTACCAGGCCTCTTTCCACAGACCGCTAGAGAAGGGTTTGTGGATGGTTTCTAGGTCTCCTCTAGGAAGCAAATTTGGAGGAGAAATTTTTACCACCAGAAGTTCTAGAGGCTTGGGTTTCAGCAGAGCAGTCACTGTGTTTTTCCCCATAAAGAACTCTAGACTCAAGATGTATTAACTCCAACTCTGTTGAGATTCTCTCAGAGAGCTTTCCTTACTGAGAAGGCAGAATTCCTTATAGGCCACCATACCTTGTCGCCTATATATATTCCTTATATGTTCCTTACTAAGAACATATAAGAAAAATATTCTATTTTCCTTGAGGGTCTGACTCAGGTTTGGCCCTGAGACTGGTGAATGGAGGTGACCATTGTCAGGGCCAAGTAGAAGTCCTGTACTGAGGCTCCTGGGGTACCATGTGTGATGACAGCTGGGACACTGGTGATGCCCATATGGTGTGCAGGCAGCTGGGCTGTGGCTGGGCTATGTCTGCCTCAGGAGGTGTACAGTTCGGTCAGGGCACAGGCCCAATTGCCCTGGATGACATGCGCTGCTCAGGACATAAGTCTTACCTGTGGAAATGCCCTCACAACCGACGTGTATAGAATTCTCAACTGATTGGTCTGAGAAGTATTTCATGTTAGGTAAAGTCTTTTTACAAGCAAAATGAGAAGTAGTGATTGACTATTTAAAAAACAATTGGAATAACAATGATGATAATGATTGTGGAAAATAATGAAAAGCTATTGGATGATGAAATAGGGATTTTAATGTCTCTGTATTGACTGATATGCATGGTATTCCTTCTGGAAAAAGAAATGTAATACACTGGAATATTGTATGTGATTCAATGTAATATAAACAAGATTCTGATGGTAATTTTAAAAAAAGCCAAAAAAAACCCCCCAAAAAACCAAAACAAAAAACAATGGCTGGCTCTCTCATAACTGTGGTCATGGGGAAGATGCTGGTGTCATACAAGAAGATGCTGGTGGGCATACACAACCCCTGGGCCCAATCTCCAGAAATGGGCATTGACTGGCACACCTATTTCTGCTCACAGAACTACATCTATGTGCTCTTGTCTTGGAGACGTAGAAGCCACTGCTCTCCCCTTAGAGAGATGGTGCCTATGTGACACAGCTTTGGATGGCTCAAGTAATGGGGTATACATCCAGGCTTAACATTCCCCCCCAAATCCTGGGCATGGTGGCATCCTCCCTATGGCAAAAAAAAAATCTCCCCCCAAATGCTCAGTCATTTAACTATGCTCTGTGGATTTAGGTGGTGCCATCCTCACAATGACTCTGAAGAGGTCATTGTTATATCTTTTCTTTTCTTTCTTTCTTTTTTTTGAGAAAGATTTTTATTACAGAGCATGTGCACTATCCAGAGAGACAGAGAGAGACAGACAGAAAGTGACAAATCACCTCCTGAAAGGATGACCATGCTGCAACCCTCTCCTCCATTCTCCTCTTGAGATTTTGGGCATGCAAGCACACCTGCCCAGAGTGAGTTTTAAGCTCTGAATCTAGAACTTGAACTGCAGTCAACTTCATGGGAGTCCAGCACGGTCTACTACATGGGAGTTCAGTGACAGCCATGACAACAACTGCTGGTCCCTCTATTGGCCTTTTATTCTTTAATTCTAATTCCAGCATTTCTCATCATTACCATTTATAGGAACATGGATTACCACATCCTCACCTGTACAACCAGAAGGTAAATAAACTTATCGACCAGCCCTGTTATTGATTATCCTCTTATAGATAAACTTTGGATTTAAAAATGATAGGACGAGGCTTCAAGTAGTCCCTTCCTTAGGCATGTCCCTGTGGATTGGGTGTCTGCATGGGGGTTCTGAGACTTTGGAGTCTTAGAAAACCAAATCTTTGAACTGTTGTTAAAAAAGAGGGGTTTGTGAGCTATCTGCAACAGTGGGATTCTAATCCAGGTGCTCTGTGTTAATCCTCCTCTAGGTGTTTTGGAATAGTTCTAGAAGATTCACTACTCCTGTTAGGATCTTGAATTTGAGAGGTTTTTAGGGCCTCAGTCAGTTTCTTGACTTTTGTGTACCTGACTTACTGATGTTCACTTTGTAGGTTGGAAAATAAATGCCCAGGTGGTCGTAAAGACCAAATAAATGGAAATGTATGATGAACTTCGTAAACTGTACGAGCTCAATACAAGTACTGATGACATCTGTGATAGGAAAAATCTTTGACCCCATAGAGTGTAGGTTCTCAACTAAAAGACCATTTTGCAATCAGGAAAAAAACATAAATGAAGAGAAAAGAAGGGCCAGGCACATGTGACTAGGATTCAGATTCCACTTTTTTGTTTGTTTTGATGTAGCTTGACTTTATTAATTTTTTCTTTCTCATAGTTTATTTTTTATACATTTAACCATTGTATGTCATTATACCTTATAAAATGAATTTTCTCAGCATGAATACACTACATATTAGTCCAGTCAAAGGTATTATCATACACATTATCATCAACAGATAATTTCTCATTTTTGTGTCCCTCTAATGTTTTTAAAAATATTATGGGAGCAAAAACAAAACACTCCTGCAAGTAAAATCCTGCCCCCAGAAAGCCAGCTTCTAATTTCTCTAAGGGAGAAGGGAAATTGCTCTTGTAGGAACCCTTCCATCTGGCTTTCATCATAAGCTATTGCCCAGTGCTTTGAGTAGGGCCTGGTTGGGAAAGGAAGATATGCTGATGGGGTTTTGAAGATCAAGAGCTGTGACATAAAAAAATAACTTTGATCTCTTGAAGGGTCCCCAGGTGAACCACGTTTGCTGATCACTCACTAGAACACAGAGGGACGTGACCCTGGGCACCTGGGCACCTGGGCACCAGCTACTGCAGGGTTACAGAAGGAGGTGGACATAGGCTTTCTAATACAGAAAATGTCAGATTATCTGAGACTGTGGTCACTACTGTGTGATAATTTCACCTTTAAGTTAAACAAAAATGAAATTTTCCTGGGTTTAAGGAAGCACTGAGTGCCTATTCCAGAGAGCCTCACTTTCTTTTCTCTGTTTCCTGCAGAATCTTTGCTCTCCACAGAATCATCCACAGTATTAACAGGTATCATCTACATCACTGTCGCTATCAGACACAGAAATCAATATGCTCGAGGGTTAGGGTTGACACAGGAGAGAATGGGATTAGAAGTGTCAGATCAACTTGTAGAACAGTTTCCAGGTGTAAGTGTATGGGTATGGGTCTAGTTTCAGGGGATCTCTCTTGGAGTATTCATTGCCAGACCTTGGAGACCTTGAGTCTTCAGGCTCTCATAGCAATTAGCAAAACGGGGAATGAGAGAAGGGGTAATTGTCTGGGGCAGTATTGATTCAGGGTGGAGTGATGAGCACAGCAGGGTAATCATGGGGTCAAAGGCTTCTTCTGAGCTCAGACCTGGCACAGCCTCCTAAAGAAGCTAGAAGTGCCAGGAGTCAAAAGTGCACCCCTTACACAACCAGGCATCCACGGTCAGGAAGGAAGGAGATCATATAACATTTCCCTGTGCAGACTTTAAAACACGTCAGGGTTTGGCCTATGGAAAGTGGTCCTTGGTACATACACTCAACCTTCACAATCTTGAAATCACCAAAAGTGAATTAAGAAATAACTGTGTGCTCTCTAGGAACTGATGCAGGCTTGGCCCTGCGGCTGGTGAATGGAAGTGACCGGTT